CTTCTCGTTTAAAAAAAAACGACTCGATCAACATTGGACAAGTATGATAACATCTGACAAGCCCTAAGGTGTTCAAATTGTATCTCATCTACCACAAAGTGTGTATACACTCATAATATACATATGTGTGTGTTCCAGTGTACTTCAGTGTACACTTGTTTTGTCTACCACATACTTTTGCTTTTTATAATCATTAAGCAAATGGCTAAATTGGTAGAATATGTAAAGCCAGCAAATGTAACATAGAAATTATATCTTCTCGTTGTGTTTATTTGTTTATTTATTTATTTAATAAAAAGAAGAGAATAAAGTGGTACTTGGTTATCTTGACTGTAATATTCTTTCGTTCAGATCTTCTCTTAGTTTTACTTCATTTACCGAAGTTTGTTATCTTTTTCCTTCTTCTCCTTCATCTTCAATCATTACTACTATGGTCATAGTTTAAGGAAATGTTATCAAAATAATAAACTTATTTGACAATAAATAAATTTTTTGAAGAGTGAATTCATTATTTGAAGTTTCATTCAAATTTTTCTTCTTGATTTGAAAAATTCAATTAACTTTTTTTAATGAGTAAATAGAATATGGAACAAGAAAAAAGAAACATTCTCAATTCAATTAGAAATATGTGTTACTCAGTTGTTGTTTTTTTTCTTATAACAAATATACTACTCATTTTCAAAGGTTTATATAGTAAATTTTAATGATATATATAAGCATAGATTGATCACAGATTGGTAGTCATTGATAACTGAGTGATAGTAGATCATTGATTCATTGAAATAATTGGTGAATTTACAATGACAACTAATAGTTTTGTAGGTGAATTAAATTATCCTGAGTTTTAAAGTTACTAGTTTTGCTTTTATGAAGCTCAATGCACTTGATATAATCAACAGAATTATGATTAGTAGCCTTGTTATCATGTGAAAACGATCTTAAAACTTTCATAATCATGACATCCTAAGAGTGAACTTATCTTTATTCTCTTTACTTTTACATTTAATATTCAACCATTTTATCAGTGTTTTTAACATCATCTCTGTCAGTGATATTACAATACACTTATTTGTATTTCAATATCTGTTTACATTAGTACATGTTTATACTTAACGATATAGTGATAAGCTCAATATATTTTCTGTTTTGGGCTGCGAAGATTATTGGATTTTATTAAAATCATGAACCAATCATTGTCAGGTCACCATTGAAAACCTTGAAGCACTGAACGGTCATTTTGTTCCAGTATAACATTCATTGACAATGCACATCCATGACCTACACGTCGGTTTCGAACCCAACACTTTCATTCTCGTGCACTAATGCTCAACCCCTAAACGATAGAGCCGGAATCCAACGGTGTTAGTTTCTAACTTCAACAAATCCACGATATTGTGTAATCATCTGTTGTTTTAGGTAGGCAACTGTCTCACACTGCTAAAGAGTAACACACTAGAACGAAACGGTCATCCAGTGCTTGCAGGCCTTCAATGATGGTTTAACATTGATCGACTCATGATTTCAATGAAACTCAATATACCTTACAGATTTTTGCAAAATTTGTGCTGGGGAACTTAGCTCAAATAAAGTACAATAAAACTATCGATATTGAAGAGTGTAGAATCAAATGAATATATCATGTCGAAATCTCTTCGTAAAAGCTTCTTACTTTGAGTTAAACTCATTAGAAATTGTTAACACTATATATCTATCGATAAATAGTTTGGTATTACGTCAGTAATAATAATGTTCAGTAATAAAATGGTAAATCATCTCAAGGGAACATGAACACAGATTCTATAATATTGTTAATATGGTATTTTAAATAATGAAAATGAGAATGAAATATAACAATGAAAATATAATTACTATAGATCATATATAAACATTGATTCTTTAGTTGATGTATACAATATAAGAATACATTATCGATACTTCATAACTAATAATAGAATTACTCAAGTATAAAATCATTTTAAACCATGTCTTTTTAAATAGCTGAACGTTTTAAATCATTATCATAAAATGTTACAAACTATTAGTGTGATTGGTGTGAATACTTTGAAAAATAGAATGAATTCACGTTTTCACCTTGTCAAATTTAGTTTTTTTTCTGTTTGCTTTTGTGTTCTTACACCTAAGGTTTTTATTCTTCCTTTTCATATGAATCCTTTAACATTCTAATATTGAAATTGCCCTCAAATGCCCTGGTATGGGCGAGAGTGGAGAGAGTGCGCTCTCCCTCGAAAAATACTCTCACATGGCCACGCGTATATAGCCTATGCCAGGGAAGTCCTACTCACTGACTTCTCGTGGCATTTCTGTTGTTTACGAAATTGAGAGGACGAAAAGCGAATGTCTGGCGCTTTACCTGGATTCCAAACCAATGGTGCACATGGGCTCTAGTATCCTGCGGGAACAAATGGCATATGAACCAATTGTTGGTCACCGGCTACCATGAGACTGCATCTCCCCACGATGTTTCATTGCCTTGTGGATCAGACGTTCAGGTCGAAGGCTCCGGGTGTGGCCTCCTAAGAGAACCACCTGGTTCGGTTTGGGCACCCAGGCAGTATCACAGTCCTCACACACATCGAATGAGATTTGTGTGGTGCATATGTATTTGGTGCTTCCTTGTACCAATATCTATGTTTTAAAATAAATAAATAATAATAAATAAATATTGAAATACTAATCAATAAACGAATGTGCTATTATTTTGTAATAATTAATGATGATAGTGAAATAACTTTGAATAAAGACTAAATAGATCAAGGATATTTCCACTTTTCTTTTTCAAGTGTATATTTAATTCGTTGTACTTACATACTTACTCCTGTTACTCCTAATGGAGTGTAGGCCGCCAATGAGCATTCATTGTGTCGACTGAATAATTTTAAATAACCTCGCTAGGATGAAATTATATTGAAATTCATTCTTTAGTTGGAAATTTAATGAATTGAACTGATTTCTTTACTGTTTTCGTCTGTTAGGATTTTTATTAGATAAGTACGATGAAAATTCATTCACATAATCTTTATCTATTATTCCATTTATACGAAACTGTTAAAGTAAGGGCGACATTTTGGGATTAATTATAATTGAGTTTCCTCGTCTACAAAGAGTCTCGAGTTTTAAAACTTCAGTGTAAAAAATTATTTGGATAACGTAAAACTGTCTGACATGTCAAAACACAAACCGCTAGTTTTCATGGAGTTTTATTTTCATAGCTGGATGATTTGGTCGTGGAGCTTTCATCGTTATCCTGAACGAAATCATCGGCACAAATCTCAAGTAGAAGTGAAGTGTTGAAACTTCTTCACATTTGACTCCCAGCTTGTCCTGTAGACCTCGATCCTGATTGGTCAATGCCAACCTTTAACCTGTTATTGTTTACTTCTTTATTTGATTTTACCTCCAATTGATTTGGTTCTTGGTCCTATATTTGTCCATAATTTTTCTGACTGGTCGATAAATTGGATCGATTTCAATGTGTTTGTTGATGACTGATTCACTTGAGTGCCAAGCTCCTAAAAATTCCTTGGTTTTTTTAGAATTGCCTCTATCCAAAATCTCAACATTTTTCCAGTCGAATGTGTGTCCACAGTTGTCCACATGTATTGATATAAGTGAGGATATATCATGGCATTTGACCGCTAATTGATGTTCATGTAGGCGAAGATGAAGAAAGTGTTCGCTTTGTCCGATGCAGTGTTTTTTGCAGATGGAACAATTTATTTTGTAGATGATGTTCGGCTTTTCTTCTTTTATCATTTCGTCCTTTGGTTTACATAAAATCGATTGAAGTGATTTTGTTGGTTTGTGTGTTACACCTTTTCAAAAAGGCTTCAAAAATCTCGTTGCAATTTCTGATATACCTTTTACATATTGGTAAGATAATCCTTTTCTTGGTTTCTGGACTTGTTTTTGTTTCTGCTGATAAGTTTGGCTGGCATTTTTGATAAAGTTGATTGGGCAGCCGTTCTTTTGAAAGATAGTGTTTAAATATAGAAGCACGAATCAAATCGATTGGAGGTAAAATCAAATAAAGAAGTAAACAATGACTGGATAAAGATCAACAATAATCAATCAAGATCGAGTTCTACAGGACGAGCTCTGAGTCTTATGTGTAGAAATCCGAATATTTTACTTCTACCTGACGTTTGTGCTGATGATTTCGTTCAGAATGACAGTAAATAGCTAACTATGTAAGAGATTAAGTAGTTTACAATATTATTATTCAACTTTATTGTTGTTAGATCTTTGATCCTTCTGGAATTCTGTATTCTATGGTAAAATGTTATAACTTTACTAAGTGACATATTATGTCTTCCTTGCAGTAATCACAAATCACCTAACACCGAATATAGTTCACCACTATGTGAACGTACCAAGACTAGCAACTGAATTGAATCTTTATAGATCTAAAATGATCAATACCTGTGTAAATTCAATTATGAACAAGAATTTTTTTCAAGTTACCGATATCTGAAAAACCATTTCAGAATGCCTATTAAACTTCCATGATTAATGTACTAGATCTATCGGGTATAAACTACATATGTTTACTTAAACATAGTTTTTGACTTTATAACCCTTGGATAAGTCTAATTTCTTTAAATATAACTTAAGAATGTTAAAATTGTTAAACACAATTATTTTTACTACCTTGTAGTGTATATGTAAGATAAGAATGTTTCAGAACAATGAAACGAAATAAAGTATGATACTTTCTATATTATTCGACTAACAGTTAGTTTATCAAGTTAAGATTAAGTTGAAATTTCTAATTAAAACTTGTAGACAAAATAATGATAAACGATATAGATTTCTCTGATTTGAATTAATCTTTGATCATATACTATTCGGATATTACAATGATATAAGTTGAATTAATCAAGGGGAAATTAGTTAATTTCTTGGATGAAAAAATTAATAATCTATTACGATTGTTAGTTCAAGTTAATACTTTTTTTTTATCACATACACAAATATTTTAGGCCAAATGTATGCTTCGAAACTAATCCTAAACCAAGACAATATCGTCAACGTATACAAATTCCTTATACAAAATTAACACGTGTTTGGGAACCAAATTGTGAAGCTGAAGGTAACTGGTGTATCAAATATAAAGAACAGTAAGTTATTGGATATTTATTATTGTAAAATATTAAATCTATTATTATGTATAAATAGATTAATTATTTGTTTTCATTAACTTGATAATTAGTGAATATTGCATCACAATCATTTATAAGATCAAGTTAAGTAACTTCTGATTTTAGACATTTAAGATCAATTTATACGTCTAGGAAGTGTGATATTTCACTGAGATCAATTTTAATGTTTGTTATGATCATTCTGTAAGATCTTGATATCTGTCATTCATTTTTTACGCAAAATGATGACATATTTGTTCATTGATTTTGCTAAATACCTTAACTAGCTGAACCATTTAAAGCAGATGAAGAAGAGAAGTATTGTTTATCTTCACAAAACAAGAACATCCTATAGTTGGAAAAGTGATGTCAATAATCTATCAAGGTAGTTGCAAGAAAATTTTTGACATTTTGTAAATTAGTATCATCATAAAGTAATAACAGCTGGATAATTAATGAAAAGCAGAAAGTACTAAACAGCTGATTTATTCTAATCTCAGAATGTTGATCAATGCTTGCACCCAACTCTACAAATTCAACTTATACCAGTTTTTGATGAAACTGCTTTGAAATATCAATGATCTTTTTACGTTGAAAATTACTGATCTATTTCATCTTTAAAAAAACATAAAATTTTGACGTTCCTAATTCACAGTTATTTAATTATAGAATCATTTGGCTGGACTTTTAATTTATTTAAATATTTTAGAACTCATTATGCTGTTCATTATAAAACAGTTTTTAAAACTGCACCTTTAAAACAATTTCGCTGCTGTCCTGGTTTCATTCGTCAACCTGGATATGAAGGTTGTGTTCCAGGTAAGCATTTTCCGAAAAACAATAATTTTTAATTATTTCGTCATAAATATCATTGAATGACTTGAGTTACATCATAGTATAATTTCAAGTGCGGTGAATTCAGATTGAAGTATATATATATATATATATATATATATATATATATATATATATATATATATATATATATAATGGTGTACATTGGTGGATTCAATAATCACATTTGTTTGTCTAACTTAACTACTATTTATTGACCACACATTCATTAATATTACATACTAACGTGTTTCAATTATGTCCTAAATGGTTTGGAGTACAATTATTCCATATGGTTACATTTATTTGTTCTTAACTTTACCGACATCACTAATGATTAATTCGTCACATTCATTACAATAATTTTACTTATCTAATGTGCCATAGATTCCTATTTTGTACAATTTAGATTAGTACATAACAAAAAAACATATCAAATGACAACCGATTACATTTTAAAACTAATTCAATGATTAATTTTTTAGCAAAATATACGAATACAAGATGCAGTTGAGACATTTTAGAAACAAAAAATTGAATAAAATGTTTATAAGTATAAGGTTGTGGAGAATGTTGAGATTCATTGAAATCATGAATCGATCAGTCTTAGATCACCATTAAAAACAAAGAAGCACTGGGCGCCATTTCGTCTTAGTATGGAACTTGTCAACAGTGCACATGAACGACCCACACGTCGGAACTGAACCCAGCACCTTCAGTCACGTGTGTGAACGTTTAACCTTTAGACTTGTGAGCCAGCATACAACGGTACCAATGAAACTTGACAGTATCCGTAACCCTACAATGATAATCATCATATGCTCACTGGTGACTAACTTAGAGAGGAAATTCTCTGGGTCCGAGTGTAAAGTCGTGACAAGTGGAATTCAACAAGTGTGTGAGGCAGTTAACCACCGAGAAAAACTGAAGATGGTTGCATAATATCGTGGATTGGTTGAAGTTAAGCATTAACACCACTGAATTACATCTCAATGGTCTAGATGTTGAACATTCGTGTAGGGTTTGAATCCCATGTACATTTTCCATATGAATGTCATACTAGAACGAAATGACTGTTCAGTGCTTTCTGGCTTTCAATGGTGATCTGACACTGATCGATTCATGATTTCATCAAAAGTGTTTATGGTTAATTTTCTGTTGAATTTTCCATAATAGAAATCGCCAAGTCAAAATACAGTATATATATATTACAAACAGCATACATGTTTGTAATTTGGGGAATGAGTATAAAGCTTGAATATAGAGGAATTTCATGGAATTCGATGGCCCTCTATTATAACTCAGAATACTTAGAAGCCAATAATAAAAAAATCCTTCTGTTAAACTAACGTTTAAACTGAAATCGAAATTACAGTAAACACAACGATAAAATTTATGTCAGTGTTCTTTCTGATAATGTAAATTCCTTAATGGATTTCCAAATATTGAGGAAAAGCTAATCGGTCGGTTCTACTTCCATCGACAATTGCTTATTTAAACTAATTTATATTGTATCAACTTTTTCCCAACTGTGTATCTAACAATAAAATTTCGATTATCTTGTTTTGTGAAATACGAAGACGAAATTGACCTGAAAAATGTGATATTTCTGAGATATGCATCTTCAACAATCTGATCACAAGTTTATTTGTTGAAGCATGCCATATGGGTTCAGTAATTATAAAGTGATAATTGATAATAAACGGAAGAAAAAATTATGTAATTTTAAAATAATGACAAGATGCCATAATTACTGTAGGGTTTAAGGTAAATCAAAGATTGTTAGGGCAGATACAAGATTAGAACAAGCTGTTTTTGTACAAATATAGTCCAAATGCCTGACAGTTTTCTGATCAGCTCAGCCTTCCTACTACATTAGCAAAGAACAAAAAAATTATATGTACTGTTAAGCTTCTAACTGAACTCCTCAATTAATATTTCGCGCTACTGATTGCATTAAAGTAACAAAAATAGTTCAATGACGTGGTAGATAGCTAAACGTTTTGTAAAATTCTTTTTGTTTTCAATAATTTATATGTGGTGTTTACTTATCAGTCTATATAAAACGGTAACTTAAATTGACCGGTTTCTAATGTACAATTGCATCACTTCACTATGACAGTTTAGATCGTCCAAATACACAATTACCTAAATTGCATATATATGTTAAACTTGACAAAATGGACTAAAAAGTCAGAAAAGCTCATAACAAATCAAATTACATTACATTAATTAACTCCACCCTAACCACTCCCTATCTTTCTGTATCTGGATCACTGATTCTTCTTATCCTAAACTTAGTTATCTTGATAAATTGACTGAATAATATGTACCACTACCTCTATTTCTTTGTGTATAGATAAAACAGAGAAAAATATCATCAGCAACATACAAGAAACAAAGAGTTACTGTAACACTATTTATCCAATTTTTATCTGCTTTGTTCATGTATATTCAATTTACATTGTCTATAAAAAAAGATTTCCATCTTAGACTTTCATTCTTACTTTTGTTTTCTGCTTCTACTACTACTTCTTCTTTTTCATTTTCCACCACCCTGAATCATCAAGATCATGGTCTGCAATTCAGAGTTGAAAAACTTATCATTTTCCTGCTTCAATTTATTTGAGATCTACTGGTTTGTTTGTGTAGAAGCTATGTAAAAAAGCAGCAAAAAAATGCCTGTTCAAGTGTTCAGTTATCCGCCTTTCTGTTCAGATGTTGTGTGTGTAGGCACACAAGTGTTTGCTATGTGCATGGGTATATTTAAGTGTAAATACTGAACATACTAATCATATGTATTATATATACATATATATTGGATGATTTAATTTCAATAATTTCTTCAGTTTTCGATAAGATTTCTATACTGATAAATAAATTAGCTTATTTACAGAACAAAAAAAGATATCTATATAGTCAACCGTTTTTATCTATACTGTTCTGTTAGTGCTTTCGTTGAGGAGTAACCAACAACCACCCTAACAACAACAACAACAAAAACAAAAACACGGGATCTGTTAATCTTAATGATCGTATGTTACTTTTTTTTCTTTTTTTTATGAAAATGGGATAATACTTGAAACTAGTGAAAACTAAATAAAGAAGAATTTTCGAATAATTCTGTGGTTAGTTAAGAATAGGTACAGAAAAGAAAGAAAACATTTGAAACAGTAATAAATTCTATATTGATATAGACATTACTGAAGTAGAATGTTAAATAGAAATTGATTTTTAATAAATTCCAAGACATACTTATATAAGTTATGAACTAATTCAGTTATTGTAAAGTATATCCACTAATAATATTATTACTTATATTATTATCATTATTACTGATGTCCAATAAATAGATTTTGATCTGTTAAGCATAATAATATCTAAGCAACATGGACTTGAAATTCTTATTAGATAGATGACTATGACTACTAAGTTTATAATCTCATTAAAATGTGATTTCTGTTTAAGGGATCTTTTTGTAGATTGAAAGAATGACTTAACAATTTGGATAGTTAAGCTGAATAAATTATAGAGATATTTATTATAGTAAAAAGCAGTTTTATATATAAACTATTGAAAACCATAGGGCATTGAGATTTCCGTCTCAGTTTGATTGAGTCCTACTTCCATTAAAAGAATCCAATTTAAAATCTTGAAGTCTTTTAGTAAACATTATTTCCAAACATTTGAGTCTATAGTGAATGATACAGATTTTTAATAAAAGCCGATTTACAATATAGAGCAGTGAGCCATCAGTGATCTATGTTTTACTCCAAATATGTTAACTGCAGATAAAGCGCATATATTTCGATTTCAACCAAGCTATTTAAGAATGAAACTACTCTCTGTGATACGTGAAGGTATAAATATGCGATGTGAAGGTATTTATGTGGTTTGCCAAAATGTTTTAAACTAATATGAAACTTCCATTCATTGTTTCTTGATTTTCAATTATTTACCAGCTGCCTTTAATATGTTGTATATACAGTTTGACTAACATTAAGACTATCCCAATAAGTATTACTTTACATGTTTTCCGCCTGTAGCTCTAATAGGGTTACTGCCGGTCCCAAGCCCGGGTAAAGGAGGAGGGTTGGGCATGGGGTTAGCGTCCCCATCCCGTAGAAAACTAACTCGCTAAAAAAACGCTTACCAGAAAAAATTATTCAAACCATTTAAACTCTGCCCTGGGAGTTAGAAGGTCTTCAGTTAGAAGAATTATGACGCTTCATGGTGAAAGCCGAGTTCCTTCGGAAGCCACGAGGCCGATGCCCCTTCTAACAACCAGAGCAAAAATTTTTATAGGTACATGGAACGTTCGAACAATGTGGGAAACCGGGAAGACCAGTCAAATAGCAATGGAAATGAGGAGATACAACTTAGCAGTACTGGGAATCAGCGAAACCCACTGGACCCAAGCTGGACAGAAAAGGCTAGCTACGGGAGAGATGCTGCTATACTCCGGTCACGAGGAGGACAATGCTCCACACACTCAGGGAGTCGCTCTTATGCTGTCCGAAGTAGCACGAAATGCACTTGTAGGATGGGAGTCTCACGGATCCAGAATCATCAAAGCATCATTCAAAACAAAGAAGGAGGGGATCTTAATGAATATTATCCAATGTTATGCACCCACCAATGATAGCAACGACGACATTAAAGATCCATTTGTACGAGCGGCTGCAGTCAGTCATTGAGAAATGCCCAAGGAAGGACCTAACTATTCTGATGGGAGATCTAAATGCCAAAGTCGGAATAGACAACACTGGATATGAAGATATTATGGGACGACATGGACTGGGAGAAAGAAACGAAAATGGAGAAGGATTTGCAAATTTGTGTGCATTCAACAAATTAGTCATAGGAGGCACAATATTTCCACACAACCGTATACACAAAGCTACATGGATCTCACCGGACCACACTACAGAGAACCAAATCGATCATATTTGCATCAACAAAAAATTCCGAAGGACAATGGAAGC